CGGTACTTTGACTGACATTTATTCCGTCATGCAGCGCTGTACTGAAATGAATTTTATACCCTTTTTTGGGGACAGATAGAGCTTTCTTTTGGTGGTATTTATTCACCACTGGGGGTTTTATTTTTTTACTATATTAAGGAAAAATTACCGAAATTTTTAAAAAAAAACAGTTTCCCCTATATTAAATGATAAAACATTTATTATTACCCAATTTTTTGGTAAAATATAAAAGATGGGGTCACGTCGGGTAAAAAGACACTAAACATGTCAAGCCTTAAAATTGCGTGCGCGCGCGAAACCTCAAAAAACGATAATACCCAAAATTGGCCCTAGGCGACGCTTTAAAAGCTGTTACCGCTCATCAGTTTAGTGTTATCAGTGATTGATGGCCCTAAAATGATTGCTCTCACTGCGACGTTCGCGGCGATATGTAACATGTGTAGCGCAATTGTAATTTTTGCGCGCTGGGGCACCGGACGCGTATTTACGTTTATAGGCGCGTAAAAACGAGCGCGCACATATAGGCGATCGGCGCGCTATGGACCCGCTGATCGCCTATATGTGAAACACCCGGTACCGGGTGTTCGCATTGGACGGGTCTTTTCTGCCCGTGCGTGCCCGCTAGGGGGCGCGCGCGAGCAGAAAAAAATTGCCGTCTGGAGACGGCAACCCGCAGATGCTGCAGTGCCGTCCGTCCGTTTTTTTACTACGGGCGGACGGCAAGAGGTTAAGCACCAACAACTATCATCTGCTCTTTTAAAAGAGAGTGGGGGGAATGTATCCAAACTGGAGCAGACAAAATCTGGAGCAGTTGTACACAGCAACCAATCAGCTTCTCTCATCAGTTTGTTCAGTTAAGATTTGAAAATGAAAGAGAGAAGCTGATTGGTTGCCATGTATATCTGCTCCAGATTTGGTCTGCTCCAGTTTTGATAAAATCCCCCTAACTGGGTGGAGAAATGGCACTTGCCCAGGGTAAGTCAGACCCGCCTACCCCACCCCAAAAAGAAAAAATTAAACTAAATCAGAGAAGGGCCCAGGATAAGCATTTCTGGCTCATAATCAAGCATCCTGATATGTCCACTCAGCCCTGTGTTCAAACTGCGCTGACCATATCTATCAGCGCAGCCCAAACACAAGACAAGGCAATGGATGGTGACCGTCCACACCACTGCGTTCCGGTGGTGTGCACTTAAATTACAGCTTGTAGTACTTCTTTGAGCGCACTGCAGTGAGATGCGGTGCAAACACATGGCATAAGGTTAAGCCCACCGTACTAGCACACATACACCAGCAGCCATGCGGCTGAGTGTAGCTGCTGGTGTGAACAAGTCCTTAGGCCAGACTTAAATCTCACCCAGTCTGCGCTCGAAATATTATGTCTGTGCGCATTTTCAGGTATATGTAATACCGGTGTCTACCTGCCGACAACAGTGTACAGCCACTGACTTTAATGTGAGGCTGCTTGCTGCGCCTGGGGTTCTCTGCCGGTGGGTATACACTGGCATGTATGGTGTATGAGGGCCAGTGCAGTGTGCAGGAAACTTGTAATTCTGCTTAAAAACATTCAAAAAATGATTGAAAAGAAAAAAAAAAACACACCACATAGCAATTGTCAATGGAACAGATTTTAAGTAAAGTAAAGTTCAACCAGTTAGGGTTTACATTCACTTTACAGCCGCACAGGCCTTTCAATGTGCTTGGTGCTCAGTACTTAATATAAGCTGACAGACAATAACCGGCACTGTGTACCTCGGCTTCTAAGAAGGTGAGCCTCACATTATATTACTCTGTATGCCATGCTTCATGATAAAAGCTGTAACTAGATGCTGATCAATGCTAGATGCACATATTGTGTGGATGATGCGATTATTCCGCAAACACTGACCTGAAATCATTTCAGCCCTGACCCTATCCATATTAAGACCATGTCTTTCTTTGGCCATAAGCAAGAATTCTGCTTGCAGGGGGATCCCTTAATCTTCACTCGGGGGACAATATAATATTAGAAATTCTAACGGTTGCGGAGTGTGACATATTTCTCTGCACCGTGCAAGTTGTGAAGAATAAGTGCAGGTGGAAGATAAAGGAAGCGCTGAGAGCAGGAGATAAGATAAGAGGTGGCAGGGCTCGTATTACACGCCGGTGACAGGACTCTCCATGGCGGCATGTCACAGAGGACCGGGAAGACGGCATCCCTCGGGTTCAGGATCAACGGCTCCTTTTCTCCAAGCGACAGAAGCCTTTCTTTCACATTGTACCCTTTATGTGTCCATTATGTGTCTTTTTGTTATATTCTTCTTTTGATCAAAATTTTTGTTACAATCTCGTCTGGGCAGCTTTTTTTTTTTTTTCAAACATAAAAAATAGTTACGGTGTTTGTGTCCTGCTGTTTTGCAGGAAATATTAAACAAGCGTGTCTTTCAGAGTTTGCACAGAGAACAATTTAGAACAAAATGAATGGTAGCTTTAGGCAGCCAATAAAATACGCTAATACACTGGTGACTGCGGTGCTAAAGTACAGTGGTACCTCAGTTCAAACGTTTCTGTTCGCCAACAATTCAGTTCGTGAACAGGAAGTTCGGTAAAATTTTGCCTCCGTTTGCAAACTCCGCATTGGGTGACAAACACTAGCGTGGCCATTTTCCCCGCTCTGACATGTGGTCGTGGCTTCCTCTACCCAAGATCGCGGTCGCAGACAGACCTGTGCTCACTTGCTGTGAAGCTTTTTTGTGCGCTTTTTAGCGCATACAGTACTGTACAGTATTATTCAATCCAGCATGGCCCCAAAGAAAGTGCAGAGCAAGCATGGTGGTAAAAAGAACGTGCATAGCGGTAATGAAGGTAACAAGAAAGTGCAGAGCGGTAATGAAGGTAACAAGAAAGTGCAGAGCAAGAATGGCAAGAAGAAGGTTTGGAAGAAAATAACCATTTAATTAAAGAAGGAAATTGTAGAAAAGCATGATCGAGGTTAGTGTTCGCTCTCTTCATACTGTACTGTACTTGTTTCATATTTTTGTGGTTACATTTTTTTTTTACATATGGTTCAGCACAGATTAACCTTATTTACATGGAACCCTATGGGGAAATCTTATTCTGGTTGCGACCAAAATTGGTTCGTGACCACGTTCGTAGGGATCAGAACGGATTAACCTTATTTACATTGAACCCTATGGGGAAATTTGATTCGGTTTGCAACCAGAATTGTAGAACCAATTAAGTTTACAACACACACAGGGACTATGAAGAACAAAAGTAGCCCCCCTCCAGAAGGAAGGACAGTGTCAGCACCAATTCAGAGATGATTTGAGTGATGTACAAATTCGTTAAATTTTTGTTAACAGTTAAGGTACTTGAATGCATTTGTAAGATTTACTACTGAATTTAGTGTCAAGATGAACAAGATGTGTAACTGCACTCAAAATGTGATATTTTATATCTACAAATGTTAATGGTGCCTAAGAGGAACCCTTTAACTTTTGTCTCAAAGTCCTTCAAAAAATAGTAGTGCTCTTCATATGCCTAGGCACTCTGGATCCACAGCCTCATAGCTTTATATCTGCAGTGTAAGATTTGGAATAAGACTTAGTCATATAACTACTGTGCTGTTATGTGTTTTCCCTGCTGGACAGAAAGCGGTACCTAAGGACTTGCAGCGCAAAGATCTTCCTGTTTCAGCTCCATTAATTCTGTGCATGTATGACTCCAGCTGCTTCTTGATTATTCCCCCATCAGTCATCAGGTGTATGGTAAGTCAGTTATAGAAAAAAGAACAGCTGTAGGGAGCTCATAGGCAACGCTGATGACATGTTCTTCTGCTTGCCTATTTGGGCACAGTACAGGTGCTCTTTAAGCCGGCAAACTAGGACTTTCATCGCCCATAAACACTGTGTTTAACCGAGTTACATAAAAATGATCAGATAATTAAAACATCAGACTGAAGCTTGTGAGCACTTCAAGTCTGAGTGAAGAGATGGATTTTGTTTTGTGTGCACTTGACCATCAAGCCGATACCAAAAAAGAGAATTGTTGGCTTGAAGTCTGGTAAGTTTCCATACTTTCTATGAAAGCCCAGTGGCTGAACATGAACAGTCCTTGCCATAAGTAATTTATCTTCTATATGCAAGTTCTAATTTCAAAACTGCATGATGTATGATGATATATAGACGAGCCATAAACCGTTTCTTTTAAGTTTTGAGAGCCAGAGTTTTGAGATCGCCACCACTACATTCCTAGGTCTGTACACATGCCTGGACATTTAAAAGGCCGCATCATACTCCCTGTTTGAATCGTAATGTATTTTATATCATGGAGATTACAAATGAAGAATTGCAAACAAATAATTGTGGAAAGAAACATAAGTACTCCAAGGTGGGCAGGAAGAGAGGAGAATACATTGATAGGGAATCACCTCCACTGGAGGCCCCAAGAGACAGAAGTCGGCTCACTAGAATCCACCTGTAAATAACACTTTTGGGTAGACTGAGCCTTTAATATTGTATAATGATCTAATACACAAGATGTAAACACCCAACATGAAAAATACACTTAATACTCATATGATCAATTCTAAAAAGCGGTAGCATTATTTTCTTCCCCATTTAGGTGAACTTGTCCCGCGCCAAACGTTATGTGTCCCGTTATTGGGTTATCCTACTCAATTTGGCCCTTAGCTTTTTGGTATTTGAGGCTGGCCATAGACATGCAGATGTCTCCTCTGCCATTCCTAACCTCTCCTGAAAATGCCAGATGCCTGTCAAATTGATCCACTGGCTTCAATAATTTTTGAGTCACTGACCAGGAGTAAAAATGCAATTCAAGAAAGTCAGAGAGGTCAGAACTTCCAAAATACATATATGTTCTAAACTCAGAAACTACTGAAGCACTGATTCAGTAGCACAATCATCCTTTCTCAGTTCAGGTTGTCCTCAGTTTACGTTAGAAACAAGTAAAAAAGGATCATATTAGTTCTATTCACCCTGCAAGAAGGAGGGACTTACTTAGCAAGCTGCTTTTCTGCTTCGGCACACAGTTCCAGCAGGCCCATCAGCACGGCCGACACATCCATATACGGCTCCCACACCGTGAAGCCGCGTCCAATCAGATCAATAGCTGTCCTGCGGATGGTGCTGTGAGGGGGGAGCTTGGGGCTAGGCGGCTGCAGCAGTAAGAAGGTCAAAGCTTTGCCTGTGATTAGAAAAAAAAAACAAAAAAGATATATTGAGTTAAAAGCCATCCCTTGAATGAGTAAAACGGTTTTACAAGACTTAACAGCAGATTAAACGGGCAGCGCGGTAAAAAAGATCAGCCGTCTCAGCAGAAAGGTGCAGGACTTCCGCAGCGCATCAGCTAAAAAGCATAAAACTTAATGGGGAGGAAAATTGTTTGACAGACAAATGATTGCATATGGCTCCTGACGTGTCGGGGACAGGGGAGGCCAGGAGGAGAGAGGATGAGAGCTAAAAGGAAGGCTGGCACTGGCTCCTTCCCATCTCGCAAGACATTTAGGGTAAACGCCATGATATAGACATTATTGATCAATAACAACTGTTCAATTGCTAATCACTAATAGCTATTACAGCCTCATTAATCCTTTGCTGAGTAAACGCAGAAATCATTACATCTCTTGTGTACAATCTCGCCAGAAAAAGGTTTGTTTTGTCCAATAAACAGATTCAGATTTAAAAAAAACTTAAAATATGTGCACAGCGTAATCAAACTGGACAAAACCAATTGTATCAAAACACACAAAAAAAACCCCAACAACAACAAAGCAACCACACACACTGTGGTCCAATGTTGCAGAGATTGATTTTCGGTATTACACAACACGATGTATGGCGCTATATAGATGAAACATGCTGTTAGGGAACCATAAAATGTATAGAAATAGCGCTGGGGATTATTTACGGTTAACCTTGTATGGAATGAGTTCATGGCACTATACGCCATCTTTTATGGACACAATAAATCCAAGATGGATGTAGTTTTGTTGTCTGAGGTGCAGGGAGATTTAGTCATGTAGAAGAGGAGATTGGTTAAAGGAGAACTCCAGTCAAAACAATAATCTATATTCAGACAGGAGGTGTTAAAACCATTGTATCCAATGATTTATCAAATGTTTTTGGTTCCCTGATAATATGCAGATTTGCAGCTCTATGACTCCTGACACCTGAAGTGGTTTAATAGCCTCTCAATAAAAAATCCTGGCTTTTTGTCATTTTTGCAAGAGAAGCAAGGCCTGAAATGGTGGGGTAGCTAAGCCAGAACACCACCTAAAGGCGAACTTCAGCCCAAAATGCCTTGAAATGCAGACAACAACCCTGGCCTCTCTGTTCAGTACTTCCATACTTCATACCAAAAGCCCCTCATTTGGAAGTCCCTCTGTCCTCATCAGTTGTTCCTCTTTCTGGTCTGATGCACAGATATCTATGAAAATGTTCTATTTAACTACCAAACGTGTTATTCTGCTACACAACTATCACCCTATCTCATTTGTTATTTTAGCCAGGAAAAGGGTGAAAAAAAAATTCTGGGTCCAACCAATAATTTTTGCATATACATTCTTAATGGTCCGTATTACTGGGGACGTGGCAGAGGAGGTGCCCATTGCCTAAATACTAGGGAAGCACCGATATATCGGCCGCCGAAACATATTGGCCGAAAATTGCACTTTTGGCATAATGCCGAAAGTGCAATTTTCCTGCTGATACATCGGCGCATCCTATTCTCTCCTTCCCACTGGGCGCTACTCTATGTCCCAGCGGGGAGAAGAGAAAGTGAGAAAGTGGTGGAGAGCGCTGTAAGCGGCCGGCGTCTCCTCCCACACCGCTCTGCCGCCTATCACAGTCCGGCAGAGGGTGTGGGGGCGGAGACAGCACTGTCACAGGAGGCTGGGCTTTCCTCGCGACACCGCTCGATCAGCCTCCTGTGACAGCATGTCAGAGAGGAGAGCGAGAGCAAACACTCAGCGATCACTGAGTGTTTGTACATAATTAACTATATCCTCAATTATGAATGAATGGGAGTGATCTACATCACCCCCATTCAGTCATAACTGTAGTTATAGTAAACAATGTTCTCATGTTATCAATGAACAGGAAGACTCAGAGGATTCCTGTTCATTGATAACAGGGGAATTTCGGTTTTAAAATTCCCATTTCGGTGCACCTCTACTAAATACATTGGGGGGAATTTATCAAAGCAATTGCCACAGTTTTAGCCTCTTAGATCATTTTTTTTAAGTGCAAATCTGTCTTTTAACACGTGCCCATGTTTTCACCTGAGCTTGCACTACTTTTCCAACTGCATGTGTTTTGCACGTGTTTTCATCTGCACTTGTTCTGCGGCTGCCTGAAACTGGAGCATCTAGGTGATTGTTAGGTACAAAACAATCACAACTTAAGAAGTCCCCATGACCACTTCTTCAAGAAGCGACAGTTCTGCTTTTTGCCCGAAGTTACGAGTCTTCTTTCTTGGAGTCTGTTAAACCTCATTTATCAACAACATTACACTAGCATCATAAATGTGGCGAAAATATATTACGTGCAAGTTCAAACACTCGCAACTGCTATGATAAATTCCCCCCTATGTGCTGTAAAGTGTGTCCCTCTTTCACATCAAGTTGGAAGGTGTGCTAATTTAGTTATACATTGCTCTAGTTTGCCAATCCAACCCACTCTCTTTGGATGGTCATCTGGAGAGAAGAAAAGAGAGAGAGAGAGATAGAGAGATACATAGGAGAGAGGGAAGGAAAGAGAAAGATAGACATTAGACAAGACCAGCCTTAGCAAGCAGACACACATTACATATGTGAAAAGCTGTTTGAAATCTGATTGAATGCAGCCAACTCAGATTGAAGGATCATTAAACCCTTGCATGTTTTTTGCATACATCTACTGCTAGCAATCGGTGTATATATAGATCAGCTAGCAAGCAATAGATAGATATATGCAAAAACAGTAAAATAAAAAGGAAGAACCAAATAGGTTTAAACTTACTTGTGTCTCCGCCGCACACTCCCGTACAAAGACCTGAAGATTCTCGGGCAGCTGAACTAGATCGCGGGGGAGGTACATGCGCAGTTCAGATCTTTGGCCGGGAGAAGAGGAGAGACACTAGGTAAGTCAATGGCAGCAGCGTGCACCCGCATAGACTCCGTGGGACAGGAAGAGACAGGAATCAGCGCTGGATCAGAGACCGGCACCAGCGCTGGAGGGACTTCTGAAAACTACTGGAAAGAAGATGATGATAGGATTAAGAGGCATCATTTAAGGTAAGTCCTTACACCATCATTGGGGAGGGGGGAATTAAGACTTTAATGTCACTTTAAGATAAAACTTGCTAACTTTAGTGCAGCTGCAGTATCTGCTGGAAGGCATTAGCAGTTCACCGACTGGTTTCATGTGTGTACTCTTTAGTCAAAATAAAAACAAGAACTTGACTTTCTCAAGGGTTGATTGCTGCTCACTGGAGGAACCCCCACATTCCACATGTAATATTAGGAGGAAATCAGAGGCCAATAACAGTGCTCACAATGGGCATGGGGTGACGTGAGTTAGAGCGTAGTTCTAGAGGTAGGCCATAGCCAAGAAGTTGGGGATGTTAAGCCATTAGGGAAACCATTACTAGAGGGGCACATAGATGAGGATTTTCTGGCTAATAGAGGTAACACTACTGCTGTGAAAATGGCTGACTGGTTGCTTTAAAATCATTTTTAGTAAACATATTCCAATAATAAGTTAAAGCTAATATGAAGTTTCTGTGATTAGACTTAGATTAGCTTTTTAATTTATGTGATTTTCTTGCAGTTCTTTAACTATTGGTTTAGAAGTAGAAATGAAATAACTATGTTCTCCTCAGTGACGGAGACAGAGGGGACCGGGCACACACATTTCCCAAGGTTAAAAACACATTTCAGTCATGAACAGCTGTGGATCCCTATTAGGTCTTCTCCATCTCTAATATGCTGCTCCTGTCTTTGTACTCCCTTATTATCTTTCCAGCAGTAAGAAATGAAGACACTGGGGTCAACCACAGCCACCATTAGATATTCAGGACCTCTGCAGAGGTCACAGGAGCAGCTTAGAGAAATCTCAGGACAGGCTCGCTTGGCATTTAACAGAAGCCTTGAAGGTTATTCCTGGGGAAATGGCAGAATCCAGAGACTTTTTCAAGATGCAAGACTGAAACCTTGTTAAATACCCCTGGCAGGCTTACATTTGCCCAGCTCCCACAGACCACTTAAACATGTCTTTGGGGTACATCAATTTTGCACACATGGTAGGGATTATTAGCACTGGAAGCAGGCACACAAAATTCAAATTTCAGCACTATTCCTCTGGGACAATCCTAAAAACCAACAATATTGTGCCACCAACTAAAGGACAACTCCACTGAAACACATATACAGAATCTGGTTTCCCACTGAGCAATTTGTTACAGCGAACCTTCACCCATTAAAGCACCTTTTCATTTGCCTCTTGCCCCCTCCTTCTTTGAAAATTGCAGCAAAATTGGGTCTTTAAAACCTTAATCCTTGCACAATCTCTGTCAGGAACCTACAAGAGACCCACGACAGGTTTGCATATTCACGGAATCCATGCATACAGGGACAGCCAAGGGTCTCTCCCAGGTCCCACACATCTGACAGAAAGCCCTAGTGGTCTGCACATGTGTAACACATCCGCAGCATGTGTAGACACGTTGTGGATCTCTGCCAAAGACCTGGCAAGAACCTGTGCATGTCTACACATGTGCTCGATCTCTTTTCAGGATGGTGGCAGGGGACACAGCAGATCTCAGAAGACAACGCTGGATTCGCTGCGCACATGAATGTGCTATGTGAGCTCAACCCAAAAAAAATTAACAGTGGGTGAGGTGCAAATTAACCCTCGGGGAAAGTGGGGTGAAGTTCCTCTTTAAGTTACGCACATACACTTGGTGACAGTACTTTTTAGCATTGCCAAATTTATAGACTCTCACTGTTTTATCATTCAGACACTGCCCCAACTACCTCCTTCTGGTTGGTCCACCAGATAAAGTCACCAGATGGTCCCTTATCCCTTCCCTACCCATTACTTTAAAGAAAATGTGAGATTTCAGCTGCTGTGTTGGAAATTAGTATACAGATTAAATGTGTTAGTAATGGTAGCTAACCCACAAATGGCTTTCATGACTTTTGAAGG